TGATAACAAATATACAATTGCTTCTGACAAAACTGTATCTGACGACAAGGTTGTTTCAGCCTCTAAAGTTATTGAGAAAAAGATGCCTTTTGAGTCTAGAAAAAAGTAAGTGGAAATTGGGAATTTTAAATTATAAGTATTATTTTTTTTATTAATGTGTTCGTATCCAGGGTGCTCCAACTCGTGAAAATAATGATATTGAACCAAATGTGTTTTAGTAAAACGTTCCTAGTTGCTGAGATATAGAAGTTTATCCAAGATATTTTTTTCTCAGCTTATATATTTTTGGGTACAATTTCTACTTCACCTGAACATAACACTGCCAAATCACAAACATCAACTCTTGAGCAAATCAGAGCCTACAATGATATTCCCTTATCAGTTAGTGAGATTGACAGTCAGATAAACGAAAACGAACATAGTCAGGCACACATTTTAAATATAGGTCAACAGCCATCATCAAACGACGATATTGAGAAAAGCCTCGGTAATATCCTGACACTACCTTCAGACGATAGGGAGTATGATAATATATGCGAAGTGACAAACACTGATCCTGAAGCAATTGTAGAACTTATTACTGAAAGTGACAAGGAAATCAACACGCGAAAAAGAATCAGTGAAACGTGTGACAAAATGGAAGTCTGTCCTGTTGCATCACAATTCAAGGATACATCATCGATACGTGAAGCAAGTAAGTCTACTGTGATACCAGAAGAAAATTTTCAAAAGAGGCAAAGCATCAGAAGTAGCGATAATATGATTTTGAGAACAGCGATCGGATACCCACAAGTACACAAACTACCATGAAATGGTTGCTTTGCACATATGTCCTCAAACACGTTCGAAACATTGAATAACTCTCAAGCTCAAGCAATTTAGAAAGAAGAAATGAGGACACGTATTATTTCACAGAGTATCCAGATACATCTAGTAGGTCTACAGATATGCATGTTGACTTTGCACATGATGCTCAGAAATACCTGACAAGTTTGAAATCTGAGCAACATATCAGAAATGGGGACATAATTAATACATCCGGATCTGCACAAAGTCACTTGGATAATGGAAATGAAATTACCATAGTAACATTCTAGTCTGTACAATGATAACAAATATACAATTGCTTCTGACAAAACTGTATCTGACGACAAGGTTGTTCAGCCTCTAAAGTTATTGAGAAAAAGATGCCTTTTGAGTCTAGAAAAAAGTAAGTGAAATTGGGAATTTTAAATTATAAGTATTATTTTTTTTATTAATGTGTTCGTATCCAGGGTGCTCCAACTCGTGAAAATAATGATATTGAACCAAATGTGTTTTAGTATAAACGTTCCTAGTTGCTGAGATATAGAAGTTTATCCAAGATATTTTTTCTCAGCTTATATATTTTTGGTACAATTTCTACTTCACCTGAACATAACACTGCCAAATCACAAACATCAACTCTTGAGCAAATCAGAGCCTACAATGATATTCCCTTATCAGTTAGCGAGATTGACAGTCAGATAAACGAAAACGAACATAGTCAGGCACACATTTTAAGTATAGGTCAACAGCCATCATCAAACGACGATATTGAGAAAAGCCTCGGTAATATCCTGACACTACCTTCAGACGATAGGGAGTATGATAATATATGCGAAGTGACAAACACTGATCCTGAAGCAATTGTAGAACTTATTACTGAAGTGACAAGGAAATCAACACGCGAAAAGAATCAGTGAAACGTGTGACAAAATGGAAGTCTGTCCTGTTGCATCACAATTCAAGGATACATCATCGATACGTGAAGCAAGTAAGTCTACTGTGATACCAGTAAGAAAATTTTCAAAAGAGGCAAAGCATCAGAAGTAGCGATAAATATGATTTTGAGAACAGCGATCGGATACCCACAAGTACAACACCAACTACCAATGAAATGGTTGCTTTGCCACATATGTCCTCAAACACGTTCGAACATTGAATAACTCTCCAAGCTCAGCAATTTAGAAAGAAGAAATGAGGACACGTATTATTTCACAGAGTATCCAGATACATCTAGTAGGTCTACAGATATGCATGTTGACTTTGCACATGATGCTCAGAATACTGGACAAGTTTTGAAATCTGAGCAACATATCAGAAATGGGGACATAATTAATACATCCGGATCTGCACAAAGTCACTTGGATAATGGAAATGAAATTACCATAGAACATTCTAGTCTGTACAATGATAACAAATATACAATTGCTTCTGACAAAACTGTATCTGACGACAAGGTTGTTTCAGCCTCTAAAGTTATTGAGAAAAGATGCCTTTTGAGTCTAGAAAAAAGTAAGTGGAAATTGGGAATTTTAAATTATAAGTATTATTTTTTTTTATTAATGTGTTCGTATCCAGGGTGCTCCAACTCGTGAAAATAATGATATTGAACCAAATGTGTTTTAGTAAAAAGTTCCTAGTTGCTGAGATATAGAAGTTTATCCAAGATATTTTTTTCTCAGCTTATATATTTTTGGGTACAATTTCTACTTCACCTGAACATAACACTGCCAAATCACAAACATCAACTCTTGAGCAAATCAGAGCCTACAATGATATTCCCTTATCAGTTAGCGAGATTGACAGTCAGATAAACGAAAACGAACATAGTCAGGCACACATTTTAAATATAGGTCAACAGCCATCATCAAACGACGATATTGAGAAAAGCCTCGGTAATATCCTGACACTACCTTCAGACGATAGGGAGTATGATATATATGCGAAGTGACAAACACTGATCCTGAAGCAATTGTAGAACTTATTACTGAAAGTGACAAGGAAATCAACACGCGAAAAAGAATCAGTGAAACGTGTGACAAAATGGAAGTCTGTCCTGTTGCATCACAATTCAAGGATACATCATCGATACGTGAAGCAAGTAAGTCTACTGTGATACCAGAAGAAAATTTTCAAAAGAGGCAAAGCATCAGAAGTAGCGATAAATATGATTTTGAGAACAGCGATCGGATACCCACAAGTACACCAACTACCAATGAAATGGTTGCTTTGCCACATATGTCCTCAAACACGTTCGAAACATTGAATAACTCTCCAAGCTCAAGCAATTTAGAAAGAAGAAATGAGGACACGTATTATTTCACAGAGTATCCAGATACATCTAGTAGGTCTACAGATATGCATGTTGACTTTGCACATGATGCTCAGAATACTGGACAAGTTTTGAAATCTGAGCAACATATCAGAAATGGGGACATAATTAATACATCCGGATCTGCACAAAGTCACTTGGATAATGGAAATGAAATTACCATAGAACATTCTAGTCTGTACAATGATAACAAATATACAATTGCTTCTGACAAAACTGTATCTGACGACAAGGTTGTTTCAGCCTCTAAAGTTATTGAGAAAAAGATGCCTTTTGAGTCTAGAAAAAAGTAAGTGGAAATTGGGAATTTTAAATTATAAGTATTATTTTTTTTATTAATGTGTTCGTATCCAGGGGTGCTCCAACTCGTGAAAATAATGATATTGAACCAAATGTGTTTTAGTAAAACGTTCCTAGTTGCTGAGATATAGAAGTTTATCCAAGATATTTTTTTCTCAGCTTATATATTTTTGGGTACAATTTCTACTTCACCTGAACATAACACTGCCAAATCACAAACATCAACTCTTGAGCAAAT